TATCGGTATCTAATGCTCTGACACCATATTGCAGTGTAATTCCATCGCACCTAATCCTACTGACACTGCATCGCATATCTCGGGGTGATAGAACATCGGATAGGCCCATCCGATACAAATATCTTGGCAGTGTCAGAAGCTGACAGTGTCAGTTGTGGTGTGGGGTAGGTCTGGAGTAGTGGGTTTGTGGGGGGGTTCAGATTTCTCTGGGACTGGTGTGTCCAACCTGGTCAACAAGGGTTCATTAAACTGAAGCATCGTGGGTGTGGTCTAATCAGGTTGGTCAATATGTCAATCTGCTTTGGAGTTATGCAGGTCAACAGGGGTCTTCTGGTTTCCTGGTTCTGAGATAAGGTTTGCTGGTTCATTGGGTCTAGTTGGATGAGATCTTGAAGTTAATCTATCTGGGTCAGTTTCTGTGGTTCGGTCCAAGTCACTCAGCTGGTCCAGTTTGGTTCTAGATGGTGTTGATTCTTGGTTTTAAGATACTGCAATATGTTGCTGGCTCAGGGAAAGGGGAGGGGTGTCAAGACCAGCTAGGAACAAGTCCAAGTCTTTAGGTATATTGCAGTATGTGGAAAGGGGATACAACTTGGGGGGGGTTCTGGTTCTGTATCTTCCTTCCCATCTGTGACATATATGTACTCAAGTGTCCCTTGTAAGTACCATGGCTCATAACATCACATTTCCTTGTGGTTTACAATCACAATTAGTAACCTCTGTGTAAAGTGCCCATATGTAACATCACCAAGAGCTTTACATTGGAACTGGGAATCCAACATAAGATCAGATGCTCAATTCCAACGCAATTGGGCTCTTTTTCAAGGTTCCTGCCTCGGAAAAATGGCCTATTACATCGGATCTGGATATCTGATATCATGTCAGATGGCCAGGTCCAATGAAAATCTGTGGTGGTGTAACTGTAGCTTATTTTACACATAGAATCTTATTCTAGCATGAAATCATGAATATCACATGGACACCTTTTTTGTTATACCCTTGGATGATGAGTATAAAAGATATGAGATACTCTTGAAATTGAGTATGAGATGAACTCTACTTCTTTAGCCCATGGAATGATTATGCTCAGGGCTCACATAACAGGTACTAAGAAATTACTCTTTATTTCCTTTTTCTCTTTGAGAAGTTCCCATCAGCCCATTGTCATTTTCTATTCTTCTCCTTCATTTGACCCATTTCTTTTTTTTCATCTCGTATTTACTTCAATATTTGCACTCACTTATTGGTTGTTCAATTTAACTTGCTTATCCCTTAACAAGACACCGTGTCCGAGTGGTTAAGGAGACGCCCTGCTATAGATGGCCCTAGCCAGCTTGACAGGCGTTAGGTTCTGCCTGCGCGCGTTCGAATCGCGTCGGTGTCGTGTCCACACTTTTTTCCGCCCCCCCCCCCCCTTTCTCCACTGAACCAGAAGGTCAAACAAACCCTGTTTCCGACCTGTACAGAATTTTGACGTATCGAAGTTAGTTTTTTCCAATGGAATTTTGAATTTGAAGATCACCGAAAGGGGTGAGGAGGGACTTGACGTTTTAGAATGATTGAAGAACGAGCCGGAGAGGCTGAAAGAGTAAAGCAAACTTTATTTATAACTGGAACACTTTCAGGTTTTCAAACTTGAATAAGCATTTAATGAGGGCTATCACAAAACACCAGCCCAGTTGTACAAGCAGAACTCTGAATGATCGTGTCAACCGTGGTGTATGTATGCTTTTGTTTAGTTCTTTTTGGTCACCAGGGTCCCTTAGACATAGAAGATTCACCTGTCTCATGCCGAGGGGTAATATTTTTGGACGGAAAGATTTCAAGATGAAACACGCACCAATACTATAATTTCGACATCGAAAGTTATTCCTCTTGAAAGCATAACCTGAAGGCTGATCTGCTGACTTCTAGATCAGTACATTCTGGGGACCCCAATTACAACCGAAATGATGTAGTATGTACAGCTCTCACCAGAATTGTGATCACAAGTTTCTCAAATCCGAGTGAGCACCGTGTCAAATGCGCTACTCGAGTGGAGCTGAAACCTATACTACACAGTAAGAAATGTTGAATGTATGTCCTTTAAAGGATGAATTATAGGCATGGAATAGAATGCAAGTTCTTGTTGAAGGGTTACAAGTGCCTGTGTAAGGGCTTTTTAGAGTGAACAGTCTTGAGACCATGAAAGCTAGAAAAGACACGGAGGCTTGTATATTTTTCTCATTTTGTGTGATGACAGTTGACTATTTATACAAGAGGGCTCTATCAGGCCAGGGATTATATACAAGAGATTTCTCAGACTCAGTTTGTTCACAGCTGAAGACAGATACAAAGGCATGAAAGTGAGAACAAAAGAAGCTTGAAGTTCAGGTGAAAACACACAGGCAGAAAGAAACTAGCTTGAGTTTCTTCAGGAGAGAATGAGTGTTGAGTACTATCAGTATCTGAGCATAGTGTGACATCAACAGTTCTGTCAAGGCTCTTCTTTCTTGAGCCTTTGGTTACGCTTCCGTTTCCAAATTGCCCTCAAAACCTTTTTCATCTGTTCTTCCCCGGTCCGAAAATTCAACTGGAAGTACCAAGAAGACGTCAGTCATGCACATACTCTTGAGTGAACCGTTGCGATTCAAACTTCATGTTTCGAGGATGAACCTACCTCTGATAGTTTGAGGAGCTGTTCAGTCTCTTCTTCTTTATAATCAAAACGCCACGTTGACCAAACAGCCGCCGGATCTTCAAGACCATTACCTGGCGCCAGCTATCGAGGAAGCGTCCGAAACATCAAAGGTGTCAGATGACGAAGACATCATAGAGCCATATCTAATCATGAGCAACAAGACCTTACCGGGATGTAAATCAGAGCGGGTCCGTCACGAGCTTGAATCAAGTCTTCATCAGGCTCGTCCATCCGCGCCGAGAGCTCTTTGTTGGTGGAGTCACCAACCCATATGTTGCATCGACCGAGTGGAGGTTCTGGCTTAGAACAATGGGCCACGCCTCTGGTGTCAGCCGGAAAAGGATTGGCTTCGTTACCATCCAAGGGCTTTCCATTTTCACCCCCTAACTGCTTGAAAGCCTGTTCACGAGACTTTTTCACTTGTATTTCACCCTCGTTGAGGGGAATTTCAGCATCATGGTCGGCGTGTTCAGTCGATGGCGAGGATTCAGATGGACCAGGGTACTTCACCACAGGCCAAGTGTCAAGTCCGCATCTGTGTGCATACGTCTGGGCCTTGGAGAACCACACATCCTGCTCATAAAGAAACGAAACGGGTTCCTAAATCTAGAAAGTAACGCTCGTGAGTCAACCACACTTACCTGTGAGTCGGCGCTAGCGTCGAGCGAAATGATGACATCGCAATTTCTTCGATAGAGTGGTACATAGGGGATGTTGAGCTCTGCCCCCGCATCCATTAGCCCCAGCGTCTCGCATTCAGTCACAGCTACCGAAAGGCCCGGCTTGAGTTGACCCTGGAGCCCGCGAAGGAAATTGGGCAACTCGGCCGGCGGAAAGGGGTGAAGTGTGCTAAGATCGGATTCAAAAGTTGCTTATCGATTTCCCAGTCAAGAGAGCACCCGGGTCAGCCGATGGGGAACCCTTAAACACGCTAGGTTAAAGGGTGATGACATACATACATATGCATCAAACATCTTGAAAAACGGCAAGACCATTAGACCAGGTTTGACTTCCTGGTAATAGTGAGCAAGTGTGGCGGTAAAAGCTGAGGCAAAAATGCCACTCAGAATCGAAAGGCTTATTTCAGGTCGAGGCTCGATGTCATGACCGTTCTCAAACGCTCGACCTAAAGACCAAGTAGGTATAAAAGCACCCACATCTTCTGAACCGACTTCGTAAGGGGTCATCTCATACCACTACCACGCACAAAGCCAAAAAGTGAATTTAAGTTGTAGAAAAAAGAAAAGAAAAGAAAAAACGAGCGCGTCAACTTACGTGATAGGAAGGTGAAATAAACGTCTGATCACGAGCGACTTTCCCAGCCGAACTTGGATCTTCATTGGTATTACTGTAGTTGCTCATTTCATCCGGAACTTGATGATAAATTGCACAATATATTGGTAAAGGCAATGACCCATCCAGCAAATGTCGCTGATTGGAAAGTTTCAAGTGACGAGGATCCAATCGCGAGAGATCATCAGGTACAAAAAGACGAGAGGAGACGAGGGTACCGTATACATCGACTAAGGACGTGGTTCCCCCTTTGCTAGCGAGTTTTGCTACTGCACCCGAAAGAAGATACTGCAAGTTGAGAATAAGGATATTAAGCGGTTCAGTGAGTGTAATTGATGTGAAGCATTACACTTATAATTGATGTTCGATACTAACCTTATTGGTTGGATGATCTGTGAATAGCTGAAAGTTAGCAAGGTCCAAAAAAGGTGTGGTAATGCGGCTCTTGATGTGGGTTTGGAATTGATCCAGGTCGCCATCTGCAATGCTGTACCAACCGCCAAGAGCCCAACAGCTACCGGAGATTCCAGCGATATAACTGACGACATCCAGAATTCCCGACTGACGGGCCCCAAGTAAGCAACCTGTGGTCGATACCATGGCGCGATAACCTGTAAGATCCCAACTTTCAGCATTGTAGGCTCACTATGCGTTCTCGAGTTTCTAGCGCGTACCACCACCCGATGCGGCCACCCCCACGATGGGAATATCACGCTCGTCGACCTGAAAGAATTGCCTACGATCAGATTCCATTCGGTCGCTCTGTTTCAAAAAAACACCCATGCATTATTTAAAGACGAACTATGCTCTCGTCTACACCCATCAAGCTAGCGAACGCCCGTTTCATGAAATGTTTTCGCTCCCTCAGATAAGCTTTCTCACAGAACCCAACGTCGGTACCAAGCCTTACTGAGGCCTTCCAACGCAACTCGGGATTAACCTGATCATCTGTCACAGACTCTTCGACAATCTGTTGGAAAAGCGAATTGGGATCCCCAGACAGCTCGGAAGAAATCTGAGTGAGTCGAGCTGAGAGTGCGTTGAATTGAGATTTGACAGAGTCGAATGATAGCCAACTTTCGATAGTAGATTCTTTAGGAGAAGACTGCTTGAATTTCTCTTTGGTCTCTTCACAAGATGCTGTCGAGGTGTATCTTGACCTGATCGTACCAGCAAATCCCAGCATTAACGTTCCAGAAATAGCGATTGCTCCAGGTCGAAGGCCTTTGGCAAGGTTTCCCGACCAGAGACGGGAAGCATAGCGTGAGATTGTCTGCATCTCCAATTTGACGAATGGTGAGTAGAACACTCTTTGGACTCACCACCATCTGGCTTGCAGGCTCGGGAATCGGCTGCGCAAACCCGGCCCGACCCCGACTATGAAATTCTCCTATCTTCAAGTCCAAGCAATCTGTTTTTTTTCTTTTTTTTTTTGGTAAAGAACTTGTCCATTCACTCATGCCAAGAAATCTCCCATAATAAATTTACAACACACATATAAGACTGGCAAAAAAAAATGAGAAAATATATTCAAGAAGAAAAAATCCCCACCAAAACTCAAACAAACAAACCACACAGAAAAGAGGTATAACAATATCACAGATTGAATCCTGACCCACCCATGCTTTAATTACGCCTGAATAATGGATAGAAAATAGTGATGATGTATAAAAGGTCGTTGCAGAGAAAAAGAAATGCTACAAACATACCATACCACAAAGAAAAATGAAGATACATTGAAGAAAATAACATGTACTGTAGTTGAGGGTGTATGGGTGACATACAATATATGACAAAACAACCCAAATTGCTGATTATCCTCTTTCTTTTGTGGATGAAGGAGATAATTTTTTCTAAAACTCATTAAAAAGGTCAAGTCCATTGGCACGAATTGAACTTCCATCAAACTTGATCCATTCAATTCGATTAATCTCACACCAATTAATAAGAGAAATAGTAGAAGGACGAGCCAAAAAACGAGCGTTATGTTGAGTTGATAATTCTTTGATTCTTTGTCGATAATATTCTGAGTTATTTGAATGTCGTATAGTGATAGTGAAATTTTGGCCGTTGGCTACTACTGCTTGACCCACTACAGCTCCTGCTCCGGGTCCAGCCCCAACTGCGCCTCCAGCTCCATGAGTATTTGGATTAGCATTAGCAACGAGAACACCTTGTTGTCCTAACAACCCTCCATCAGGATCATTATCATCATCATTTCCAGCAAACGGCGCTGTAGCACCCACAAGTCCAAGAAAATCTTGACCACCACCTCCCTGTAGTTCAGCCATTTGATCTACATCAGGGATATGTGGTACCTCAACTGGTACTTGTGGTGGTGGTTGAATCACAATTTCTTCAACTAACGTGATCGGGATAAAATTTGTATCAAGTTGTCTTCTATTAAAACG